TTTGTAGTTGAATACTTTTATCATATCAAATCTAATTCGACAATGAATACTTTAAAAATATTAGAAATTGATTTTAATTGTTTGTATGGAAAAAGCTGGTTAAGCTACTTTTTATTTGAATAAGGAATATTTTTTCGATTTTTAAGAGTAATAACTTAAACTAAATACGAATTGTAATCATTTGACGTATCGTTGAAATAGTAGGTCTAGTGAGGATTGGCAAAATAAATCATAGCCACAAAAAGAATCACATAGTAAAATAATATTAACATGAATATAAATATCTTCTCACAAGGGGAGACTATAGTGATAGGATCCTTTATATTTATTGAAGTTATTGAATCTAAATGAGATAAATATTAAATGATTTAAAAATTTTATTCTAACTCAAAAAAAAATGCAAAATATTAATAGCCACAGACGGATATAAATCTCGTACCCTTAGCGTAAAAGACAAGTGTTACCGACTCGGGAACTGTTCGTTGCTTTCGTCACATGATAAAATTGGCTATTTTAGCCAACTCAAATTTAAAAATTACTTTTGTAACTTTAATAAAGTAAAAAATTTTAATAAGTTTAATTTATTATGTCTTATGAACTTTATACTATGTCAATTAAATTATATAATATTCATGAAAGTCGGTGTATTACCCTTATAAGATATTTTAAAATACAAAACCCAGGATTTTAACCCAAAAATAGCATATTTTTGAATACGGGAGCCAATTGCGCATAGGAGATATGTCGTCGGGTCAAATTTTTTTTTTCATTTTATGGTATACAGGGTGATTTTTTTATCATAACCCACTCAATTTCTTACAGAATAAATATAATTTAAACTTTTTTTTTTTTTTGTTATCTTTAGTTACACATTATTCTTGAATTATTCACTATTTAAAACTTTTTATGTTCATCCCTTATGCCTTGTAAGGGTGTCAACTTTGTTTTTTTAAATGGGAACACATATTTTGAATTAAATAAAATGTTTGGATTTTTAATTCAATAGTAAATGGAATTTGAAATTTTAATATAACTTTATTAGTTTATTAGATATAAACATTTAAAGTTTCAATTTTATGAGTTAATACACATGTATAATACACAAGGAATTCTAAATACAAGTGGCTAATTGGATTTTTATGACATTGCTGTCACAGTCACGGATTGTTTATTATCAATTATGACTATCAATAGATATACTTTCTGTATTGTCAGTTAGTGTATTGATTTGATATATGTTTAAAAGACGCAGTATTTCCGGAACATTTTCAAAAGTTCAGTTGAAAAAGTTAGGTTTTGTAAAAAAGTTGTTATTTTAAATCTCCTCAGTGATCAGGTTAAATGTTAAATTTTCAAAAAAATGATAACAAATGAAAGGGAAATATGTAAGGTTTTAATATAAAAAAAAATTATGTTAATTCGTTTATTTTTGAAAGAGTTATGCAAGTTTTAAGAAAAAAGTGAAAAAAATGACAAAATTTACCGATTTTTAAAATTGTAATTTTTTGGAAATTTCCTACATTTGCTGGGAACGAGGGAAAATTTTCAATTGTTAAGGGTAATGTCTTCTACAAGATACGATTTGTGATCTTTTGACATATTGTTGAAAGAAATTGGTCCAGTGAGAGCTGAGAAAAAGTGGCAACAGACATAAAAAATAAATAAAAACATCATGGTAAAATTAATATCTTCTCGGCTTTGCATCGAAGCTAAAAATGACGAATTTTACAGAAATTTCTAATTTGATGATAATTTTATAGCAAGAGCTTATTGAGTTACAAGCATTTTACACATAGAGTGTGTATGTAGCAGCTTGTACTGTTATTTAGAAGGTTTAACATCTTGTTTAATAATGCATAATGATAAACACTCGATCATCATTCTCATTGTGATATAATTGTGAAATTATCGCTTTTCTATTAATTAGTAACCTTCTCAAAAACTAGATGTGATAGGAAAAATCTGGACCCAAATTCTATATCAAAGTCAAAACACCCTATAAAATTCATAAAAATTGTAAACAACAATAATTGTTTGGTTATTCATTGTCGTGTATAATTATATTTATTTTAAAATTTAAATCAAATTTTAATTATTAATTAAAAATTATTTAAAATCAGGGTCTAATTTTCATATAGATACTGAGTTTGAACAATTCACACTATAGAATAAGCGCATACTAATTTTACACCTGTGTCTATAAAAACGATAATTCTAATCAGAAACTAGGTATAAATGCATCTACATTTTTAGCTAAAAAATATTCTTTCTACTATAATATATAAGATATTAAAACAATATTACACATTAAAATATCAACATGTGGTTCAATTTTTCAGTTTTATGCTTTTTTGTAATGCTCAGTTTAAAGAGTTTTATTTTTGGAAAAAGTGATTTAAATTGTTATTATTCGAAATACATGCTTTATTATATTTATACTAAAAATTATTATTTCAATAAAATTACATCAGAAAATCCAATCGTATATAAGAAAGTCAATGAATTTGAAAATGAACTTATATCAATGGGACCCATTATATTGTCTATGCTTGAAAATATATATTATGATTATGAAAACAAGCTAAAAAATTCTTCAGAAAATGAGGCAATGAAAATTGAAAATCCATTCAGCAATATTTATGGTATTTTAGTATTACATTTATATTTTAATAATGTATTCAATACATTGAAAGTAAGAACATATACTCGTAATAATACTAATAGTACAGATAATGATTGTAAAGATCACAACATATTTATCAATGAATATAAGAAACATTATGCTTATATTGTTAATTCACTAAAATGCAGTATAAAAAAAGAATGTTTAGAAGAGCAAAGAGAAACGGAAGTTCCTGAAGACTTTTTTTACGATGAAGCTATCATGAAAACACATAACGAGTATGATTATTTAAATAAACTTTTGCCGGAAAAACAATCATACGATCGATCAAATATTGACACAATGAAAAAGTTGGATAGTACTATCGAAGTATTAAAGTCTTACATAGCTACAAAACCAGATCGAGAAGCTAATATGACCAAAAAGATACAAAATAACTTTGACTTAAGTAAAATGTTATTAACCGGTTTATTTATTGATAAAAGAAATGAAAGCGAAAAGAGTTTATTAACTGGAAAACCAGATCCAATGGCTTTGTTTCGTAACGTACAAGTCAATAGAAATTTATTAAATGGAAATATGATAGTATTATTTCAAACAATTCAACATAATTTTACTAGCCATTGTGTCCATGTATACCAAAGGCAAATTTTTTCTGCGACAATCTATCCCTTGTACTCTTGGATTTGCTCATATATACAGTTATTAAAAAATATATTTTTCAGTAAAATAAGAAACCAAAATGATCTACATAAAAGAAGTAACTTGTATGAATATCAACTAAATGAATTCAATAGTTATATTCTAGTACTATTAAAAAAGTTTTTAGATTTAAAAATAGTTCCAGAACAATGTCAAGATCATTTAAAAGGTACTGTCACTGAAATTGAACAGTTACCAATAATAGATTACGTTTCATATTTAAAATTAGAAATACTTGATAATCTTTATAAAAGATGTGCTGAAACAATGGAAATTAATTATTTAAAATTTGACATTGAAGTCTATTCCAAAGAAATCTATAGCATAGAGGAATTTAATCTAATTTTAGCTCAATTAAAAAATAGACTAATTGAGATCCGTGGGTATGTTGACAATTTAGTTTATTATAAAGAAGATTATCACTATACTATTCATCCAAAACCATTATTTAATTTCAAAAACATATTTACTGGGGAAGATGAACGTTATAATGTAAAAGAGAGTAAACATGGTAAGTATTAATAATATCTGAGTGCACAGCAGTGTGCCAGGTGTCATTTGAGGACGGTTGGGCAGGCAGTTACCCATTCTGATTTTTAGTGGCTTACGAAAATTATGTATTTTGCTGTCTTAGGCTTGCAAAAAATAATGATATTCTCAGCAAAAACTTTCTTTACAAAATCTATCATATATCTCATTCATAAAATGACCAATTTTTAAACAATACTAGTGTAAGATTGTAATTTTTGAACTAAAGAAAAAGAAAACTTGGCTACAATATATATATATATATATATATATATCACTACTTCGATAGAGAGACTTTTAAGGTAGGAGAAAGATGAACAATAAGTCAAAAGATTACAAATTGTATTTAGTCGAAGTCATTGCACTCAAAAAAAAATTGAAAAAAAATCCCTCGTTTCCGTAAATGGAAGATATCCCCCAAAAAATTACAATTTTAATAACTTTTTCAAATTATCTTTTGAAAATATTCTGAAAATACTGATACTTTTATATATATCTTAAATTAAAGCTTATAATAATATTCTTATATATTTGAAAAAAAAAATTTAACCTCTGGACATCGTGGTGAAAATGGACATCAAAGTTAAAGAAAAACGTACGACTTTTGTAAAAAAAACTCTTGATTTTATATTTTTTAATTTATATTGCTATACATTTTTAAAAAATATATGGATCAAAATTAATTAATTTAATCTTAAATTGCCATTTTTATCATCACTCGTCATATGGTTGCCAAGTCGGTAACCCTTGTGTCTTTCACGTTTGTAGTACATATTTTTCTTAATTATTTATGAGTTAGAAAAATGTTCAACTCATTTGATTTTTATCTCATTAAAATTCAATAAATATTAAGGACGCATCACTGTAATCTCCCCTAGTTAGAAGAAATATCTTTTCACAGCTCTCACTTTCCAACTTCTTTTTAATGCTATGAAAAAAGTAACACAATTTGTGTTTAGTTTGAAGATATTACCCTCAAACATTTTTAAAATTCCACTTTATCAATTAAAAAGTTACTTAGTACACATTCTCCATGTAGACAATTAAAATTATTAATTTCTAATGTTTTTAAAGTATTTATTGTCGAATTAAGTTAAATATGATTACTAAAAAATTAAATCATTTTACTTTGTAATATATTTACTTTTCATATTGGTGACATGTTACTACATAAATCATATCTAAAAAAATTAAAAATAATTTCAGTTAAACCTGAATTTAACAATGGATTTTAGCTTCGATGCGAAGCTGAGAAGGTATTGGTTTTACTAAGATGTGTTTTTTTTTTTTTTTTTTTTTTTTTTTTTTTTTTGTGTCTGTTACCACTTTTTCTCAGCTCTCACCGAACGGATTTCTTTCAACGATACGTCAAAAGATCACAAATCGTATCTAGTCGAAGACATTACCCTTCAAAATTGAAAAAATTTCCCTCGTTCCCCGTAAATGGGGGAAACCNTATTACCCTTAAAAATTGAAAAAAATTCCCTCGTTCCCCGTAAATATATATTTATAAATGATAATATATTTATCATTTGTTCGTGACTCACCTGTTTATATTATTTTTGTTTTGAAGAAATAAATAGAAATAAATAGAAATAAATTGAAGAAGCACAAGGAAGTCAATTATTAATTTTTGAATTACACTCGCTGGTATATACATACTACATCCAATAAAGTTACTATCAATATATTATCCATTGTATTGTTCTCAAATTTACATTTTTGACCATAAAGTATTAAATGACCAGTGCCAACATCTAGTGAATAAAAGACTTGTTCTGCTGCTCTTCGCCAACCCTTCAATGTAACAAAATAATATAAAAAATATATAGTTTCTACTTAAAATGAGACTAATATTTTCCTTTATTTTTTAGCATTATTTACAGTGGTCAGATTCAATTATTTTTTTGTTTAAAGTTTATATATTAATGTTATTAAACATTTCAAAGCTGTATAATTTTTACGTTTAAGTTTACGACAAGTTAAAAAGTGCAAAGTCGGGTTCCCGGAAATCACTTTTCTCGGTCATTTAGTCAACGCAGACGGGAACGAAAAGCGATTTTCATCCCCCCCGAAACGTAAGAGACCTTCATATATTTTTAGGAGTCTGCAATTGGTACATCTAATTTGTAGACAACTACGTTGACACCGTAGACCCAATAAATAATTTACTAAAACAAGGAAATAAATGGTCTTGGTCGACAGCCGCCACAGATTGCTTTCGAAAAAGTAAAACTTCCTTGTGCAACTCGCTAAAACTATCTCCTCCTGACTACTCAAAACCTGATGCTAGCGAGATGGTATCAGAGCGATCCTTTTTCAAAAGGGCGACCACCCTTCGGAAAGGCAAATAATCGTTTACACTAGCAAAAAATTATCGAAGACGCAAAAGTGGTACACAGCGGTAGAAAGGGTATGTCTCGCTATTATATGGGCGACAGACAAATTCTGTCCTTATCTATATTACCACCTCTTTGAATTGCTCATAGACAATTCAGTCCTTGTCTGGCTACACAAAGCCTAAGACAAAAATTCTAAATTGACCCGATGGTCACTCCATTTAGGTAATTTAGATTTTACCACCACATATATTCCTGGGAATCTGAATGAGGGCCCAGACATGTTGTCACGCCACCCCACTGCTGGTCCGCTGGTAAATGAAGGCACTCTCGATGATAACCTTCAAGACGCCCCGATTATCAGCTGCACAACTCGATAAATAGACCCCGCTAAAATGTCTTTGCTACTACCCAAACAGTAGATAAGCCAAATAGCTTACCGTTTACGGAGACCAAAATAAAAGAATATCAATCAGTGTTAAATTAGCACTACTGGTTGAACAGTTATCTTCTGATTACCCTGCGCGAAATACTAGACAGGCCGACATTAAGAAAAACGATTTCGTTTTACTTAACGGATATATAAGGAAACGTGTAGGAAATGACACACCAGTAATGATACCGCCCACTAAAGCAGATCGCGTGATATGGGAATATTATGATACCCCTCTTGCTTTTCACCCTGGTTGGAACGAGACATACAGGGCGATTAAACAACTGATTTATTGCCCGGGATTAAAGCACACGATCCGTATATACGTGAAATCATGTAATATTTGTGCGTGTACTAAATCACTCAATGTGCGTCCCGAAGACCGTCCGTAAACCACGCTTTCCGTGGGAAGTAAACAGTATAGACTTAATGGGCCCCTATCCAAGAACAAGTAGAGGTGAAACATATCTACTGGTCGCCACTGACTATTTTAGCCGTTATGTTGAAGCTTATTCTATAGGTGCGCCAACAACTAAAACTATAACTAAAACATTAGAATGCGAGTTTTTCTCCCGTTTGGGTACCCACGGGTATGTCTCAGGGATAATGGTTTCCAATTCGTTTCAATCGAAATGAGCGATGTCCATAATACGTGAGGAGCAGAAGGTTGGGCGATCCCTGTATACCACCCCCGTGCTAATCCAGACAAGCGTAAGAACCAAGAGCTGAAAAAAGGACTTTGTGCATTATTAGCGGACGGAAGTCACACCTCTTGAGACTTAAAAATTCCTCCCATTCCTTTTGCTATAAAAAAATCGTGGAAACGAACGAACAGCGTTTTCTCCTTCCGTTTTAAATCTAGGTAGAGAAAACAAACGCCTAGGTGTTGGACTTTACTACACGACGAACCTAACCAAATAGTAAAAATTAATAAACCATGACAACAGCTTGAGCAAAATTAACAATTTTAGCTTCGATGCGAAGCTGAGAAGGTATTGGTTTTACTAAGATGTGTTTTTTTTTTTTTTTTTTTTTTTTTTT